GATCAAATGATATTCTTCAAATGGCCTATTAGAATGTAGTTTGGTGGGTTTTATCCAGATTAAAGTTTATCAACAAACATGCCCTCTCTAAGAAACTCTCTTTTCAGCTTCTTTAATGTGTAGACACACTTGTCTTTTCTCACTGTTCTGCACACCATCACACAGGATAGAATCCCCTGATCTGCTCCATTTTAGTTTAGGATTTATAGACATGTAAATTTTCCAATGGGCCTGTTTCTTAAGTTATAGCTTCTTCAACTAATCTGTCTGATGTTAACTTGTTTGTTCATCCAGTCTCAAAAGAACCCACAGGGAGAGGGAATTGTCCCTTACACCCTGGCATGATTTGCTCTATTAAAACATTAATCTTAAAAGCTATGTAAGATTTAATAGGAAAATTACTTAGAAGCTCTCAATTTTCCACACATTCCTGGATCCCTTAATGAGAAATCCTAAAATTCTAAAGTTAGTAGGATTATCTCCAAACTCTTAAAGTAGTATAAAAAAAAAAACTATATAAAATGTTATTCACAACATTGTCGTTACCTAAAATATTTGTGAAGAAATTGTTATGATTTTCCAGTAAATTAAATCTTACAGAGTTCATTTTCCAGAAACAACTTCTCCCCTGTGAATAGGTAACATCCCAAGACAACCCAAATTGACTCTTGACTCTGTTGCAAAGTCAAATCTTACAACTTTACAAATAAATGAAGCACCATCATTCTCAGGGTTATTTCTTAGGTAAACCTGTTTGAATGCTTTTCTATTTTGAAACGATAAACAGATCTTAACTTTTTTCCCCAGGGTAGTGCTTTGGTTTTAGTCATTTTATTACCATGTTACTTTTGCCTTTTTTTTTTTTTTAAGATTTATTTGTACATACAGAACTGGGGTACAGGCCAGAGGCTCAGGGGCGGTGAGAGGTTTCAGCAGAGACAGTGGGGAGCAGGACAGGAGATCTACAAAGTACACTGCTGAGGGGAGCAGCGGGCGGGTCAGGAGAGGTCTGCCACGCCATGTGGTCACCTCCGGGGCAAGCGGGAATCGAACTCATGCGGAAGTGGCTTTAGCTTCTCAGTGCAGTGCTTTAAGCTGCTGCGCCACCAGGGAGGGCCACTTTTGCCATTTTTAAAAAACTTAACAACTGCAGCATAATATTATGTCAAGATAATTCATGTAAGGAACTAAAATTGCTGAAGGCTAAGAAGCACTGGGAATATAAACAAGTAAACATATTCATTGGTCTGTTGAATCAGTGTCACATTTGTGATTTATATTTCACATTAATCAGATCTGAATAATGAGAGAAATTCCTAATTTAACAATGGTTGACTTTCTTCAAATAATTACTTTCCTTAAACTTCACCTCCCTAGGTGACCGATCACATTGCTAATCATGTATAATGATAATGACTTTTCATATCTTTGGAGGAATTTGCTACAGAAGATTAATTAACTTTACAAAGGGATTACTAGTTAATTTATGAGGGATTTGTGAGGCATGTTCAGTGCCCTGAATTTGTCAGAATGAAAGAAAATTGATTTTTAAAGGACAGTTTCTTAATTCTTTTATAATTGCTTGTATCATTGCTCAATGCTCTGGCCTGTATATTTGTGTATCTTTACTAACAAGTGAACAAAACTAATTCACTGAGCTATTCTCAACTTAAACTTAACTAGAAGGCCTATACCCAAAATTAAATATGAAAATTAAGGACTCGTTTACACTCTCACCTTTGGAAATGGTGCCTCTCCTAAACTTGAGATCAAGACCTAACAATTCATATGCTAGTCCCTGAATCTCATTATTATTCATAGTTTTATTTGAAAACTTTTTAAGTGAATGCAAATATATAGTACTATTTTTCCAATAAACACTCCCTAATCTAAGTTTAAGGCAGACAGCAGGAGCAGGGGAGCAAAATGAGTCACAATAGGGGAGGGAAGAGCACAAGGTGAAAGTTCAGGGGTGCTGTAGAGATGGGAGAATTATGGGGACTGCACCTGAGAGAGAAATATCAAATACTGTACAAAAATGAACAACAGTATAAGAAAATAGAAATAAATAATACTGTCATTTCTAACCCCCCCTTCAGATTCATTAGCATATATATTTGAATAACTGGCAGAGGATTACATAATTTATTCAAATCTCTATTTTTCCAAGTACAAAGGAGTTGTGGAGAAAAGCTTTAAGGCACTGATGTACTGTAGATCTCAGCTTTACCTTCTTGTCTGTGTGGATTAAGGATCTTAAACACAAATTTTAGGCTTCTTTTCAAGAGGCTAATAAAAAGTCCCTTTTTTTTAAAAAAAATTACAGATATCACCTGTACATTCAACATAGAAATTTTGTTTTAAAAGTTCAAGCAAGCCAAGAAAAAAATTAAACTATTTTTTAAAAAGGAAAATGAATAGACATAGAAAAGTAAGGATGAGCTACGCTTTACTTCCTTTAGTTACTTGAATATTCCATGTTCTCTTGCTTCTGAGCTTTTAAAGTTGTTTTTTCTTCATAAATCAATCCTGTCCCTTTAGCTCCCTAAGATAACTCTTAACCCATCAATCTCCAGTATTGTTTCTTGCTTTTCTTAGATCTTGCCTAAGTATGTCAGTTTCTCTAAGACCATGCTTTCATAACCCAGGTGCTTCTTTATCTTAAACTTCCCATTATTAGCTATTACAATATTCAAATTTAATGTTTCTCTTCTGGCTAAACTATCTAACCCAAAAGGGCAGGGAAAATATCATATTTATTATTGTATACCCAGTATCTTGCAAACTTCATATAATAAGTACTCAATCACTTTTTACTTTATAAACTAAATTAGATGTATACATTGAATCAGTGCATAAGTGGTGGCTTTAATTTTTTTGTTTTGGTTGTTATATCAGAAATACTGTTGAATCTAATTTTGTACTCATGGTTGCTTTATCCTACATACAAAATATGCTAAAGAAATCCACATGGATTTCTTGCATGTGTATACAGAAACGTGTATACAGAAATATACTATCTATAGTTTTCTGTAATTCTTAGCAATTTGACTAAGATAATTGTTTCTGGTGGCTAGAATTTGATGTCATATGGATTCTCAAGGATCCTTTAGATAACCTGGTTTACATTGTTTTGTTTTGTTATTACATTTTGAAAGGACAGATTTTTTCAAATAACGAAAGTAGAAAACAACATACAGAAACAAGCCAGCAGAAAGAGCTACTTACCCCATCTATCTTGTTCTTTGGCTCAACTTACAAAAAGTATAATAAAAAAAATGTATAGTAAAAATAAAAAGTATAAATACATTAATAAAAGTATAACTTTTATACTCAGAACAAATACAATTTAAAATTATTAAATACTGGGCCCTCCCTGTTGGCGCATGGGTTAAAGCTTATCACTGTAAGCTAGCTGCAGCCGCTTCAGTGTAAGTTCGATCCCCAGCACTGGAGGTGATCCACATGGCGTGGCAGACCTCTCCTGACCAGCCCACTGCTCCGCTCAGCAGTGTCCACCGTCAATCTGCCTGTTCTGCTCCCCACTCTGTCTCTGGTGAAGCTTTTCACTGCTCCTGCACCTCTGGCTCATACCCCAATTCTGTATACATAAATAAATAAATCTTTAAAAAAATTATTAAATACTTAATACAAACACATATACACAGCATGCAGACACAAGCCCCAGCATTACTGTAATATTTACCCTCCCCACGGAGCATCTATGCCCTACTGAAGGGAATATTTATCTTGCTTCTGCATGGCAGAGACCAGCTTTTTACAATCTCAGCCCTTGTGCTTCAGTCTCTCCTAAACATGTTTGACTCATAGGGAAAGGCGGTCCCTCTTTCCCACTGTACTGGTTACCCAGAAGGTGTGAAGGCCCTGGCAGTCATTTTGCCTCCATAAGGGAGAGCCTCAAGCTTACAGGAGATAATGCCATGGAGTCTGAAATGAAACCAGAATTAAAAACCACATCCTGCTTATGTGATGACAATGCCAATGTAGTCATTTGTTGTTGTTGTTATTGTTATTTTGCATAGAACTGATGTGTAGGTCAGAGGTGCAGGGGATGAGAGGATTCACCAGAGACAGAGTGGGGAGCAGAACAGGCAGACCTACTGAATTACTGCTGAGGGGAGCAGCGGGCAAGATAGGAGAGGTCTGCTATGTCATACAGGTCAGCTCCCTGGCCAGGGACTGAACTAGGTTTTTGTGGTGATAGCACTGAGACTCAGCCCCTTAGCCATCAGGGAGGCCTTGATGTAGCTATTCTTGAAGCCAGAATCTATCTCTGGACTCTTGGGTCATCTGTACCAATGCATCTCTCGCTCTCTGACACTCTCTCTCATACTTTCTCTCTCTCACACACACACAGACACACACACACATACACCACCACCACCACCTTGTTTTCCTTAGCCAGCTACAGTTAGGCATGCTGCTTTTGATGTCAGTTGCCACTGATAAAGTCTTGACTGATAGTCTCAACTGACAATTGAAGGCCTTGCAGCCTAATGACATAAAAAGTACAGACATGCTGCTGCTCAATGGCTCTTCTTATCAGTGAGACACCAAGTGTGACCTTGTCGTCAATGTTCTCATACATTGCTCACAGGATTTCAATAACTTTACTAAGTGGGGTAAAACTATAAAACAAAAATACACAATTCAATCAATGCAGATCTGATATCAGATAATATCTTTTAAATGTGCATTAACTAAACTCTTTTCATGTTTTTTAATCCACTAAAAAAAAAACTATGAAAGTGATATCATTACTCAATATGTAGATAAAATTCAGAAAAGTTAGCATGGCCCTGAGACCTCAGAGCTAGCAGGAACCAGCAAGGTGTTTTCTTCTTTACTTTCATAATGCTTTTCATCACTGCACAAGTGATTTTCTTCACTTTATCTTGAAAAGTAAATTACAAGCAAGACATAAATAAGAACTAAGTTCTATCAAAAGTGCAAGGCTTTTGAAAATTGAATAATCTTACCTAACTCAGTATCTCGAATTCCCATGTACAATTCAAGGAGATCATCCACCTTTTCAATCGCCTTTGTTGTGGCTTCAGAGGGCTTTATCAAAGAAAAGAGAGATAAGATTAAGAATAAGAAAATTCTAATATGAAATATCTTGAATGTTAAGACACACAGTAGGGGAAATTCTGATATGGAGTCAGATTTCCATGGTTGCTTATTTCAGCAAATTTGAATGGCAATACATCTAGAATATGCTCTGTAACTGAATCCAAATCAATAAAGTAAATATTTATTTTTAGTGGCAATATTAAGTGCTATGGATTGAGAGAAGAAAAGCCAGGTACAGTCTCCAAGGGCGATTCTAAAAAGAAATAAAAGGTACTGAAGCATGAAATGGGAGGGGTGGAAGTACATTATAATCCCTAAGACTTCAGAAAGAAGGTGACCTAAGAACTGTGTTTTCCAAGGCCACTGATAGGAATAAGGAGAAGGCACCAAGTAGAAGGTAATATACGTACAAGGAGAGGGGACAGAGTGGAATAAAATACTATAGATTGTTCTCTCCATTTTCTGTGACTGGAAGACACAATACCAGAACGACTAAGTCTTCAGGGATCCATGGACCATGAAAAGAACTTTGGTCTTTAGACTTCAGGCCGGGGTCTCCAAACATTTTAATGGTGCAACCCAACAGTAAAATACTTCTAAATACATGCCCTGTTTACTTTGTATTTTATTGTATTTTTAATAAACAACACACATGTAGTACTATATTGATATATTGCCTACATTATAAAAATACACACAAAATAGAAATTTTTACAAGGGTAAGAACATGATATATTCTTTAAGTGATTTTTATTCTATGTATCCATGTATATAACATGTTTCTTCCTCCTGAAACTATTATTAAGGATTTTAGCAAGAAACATGATTGTATATATATTTAACATTATTTTCAGTCTTTGCTTAGTATTTGGTAAAGTGGGTTCTACGTTCAGTTTATTTCAATAATTGGTTTTAAATTACTTCACAACTAGAAAAAAAAATTGCCCAACAATGTTAAATAGTTAACCAGTCATAAATGTGGAATTGAAGACTATAATAAACTTATAATACCTTCAATATTTTTTTAAAGATTCATTTATTTATGCATACAGAACTAGGGTACAGGCCAGAGGTGAGAAGGAGGTAAGAGCATTCACCAGAGACAGAGTGGGGAGCAGAAAAGGCAGATCGACGAAGAACACTGCTGAGGGGAGCAGCAGGCGGGTCAGGAGAGGTCTGCTGTGCCTGTGGGTCACCTCTAGAGCTGGGAATTGAACACGTGCTGAAGTGGCTTCAACTTCCCATTGCTGTGCTCTAACCCACTATGCCACCAGGGAAGGCCACCTTCAATATTGGTATAAATGCATATTGCTTTGTCATCTCCAAATCAATTTTTTAAAAAAGCATTCTACTGCAAATAAAGAGCTCCCATGATTCACAGGCCCTTCACATCCTGCCCAAGTCTAGCATCTCCAACCCTGTAGGTCCTCACCAGGTACCACCAACATCCCACACTCCAATCTCAAAGGCACTAACATGGTGGACATGGTGTCCAAGCCTATCATCTCATGCCTGGGACATTCTCCCCCACTGTAACTAGCTCAATCATTTCTTCTCCCCACTTTCCTTATCCTGACAGAGAGAGCAGATCACCCACTCTATCCCCCTGAATAGCTTCTTTTCATGCTTCTCTCTCCCTTTAGAGGAAAACAGTCCTCATGCATTTTATATCACTAGCACCTGGACACAGCCTTGTATCATCAACATATTCTGAATAAATTATGAAGGTAGAGTAACTTCCAGTTTTCAGAACTTGGGCTAGGCTCCCAATCTATAAATCCTGTGTTGTTTGAAATTAGATCGTATGTCACTTGTATCAAATTTAATATTAGCACCAAACTAGATTTCTCTTTCATTAGGAGCTATTTTTAACTGCTCTATTTAATGCAGCAGACTAAGTCAACAGGAATGGTGTCTTAAATGTACGTCTTTGAATGAATCTTTCCCACCTTCCCAGACAGGTCTTCAGCTATTCTCTTATTCCAGCACCTTACACACTAGCAGGAGCTCGATCAAGATTTATTAACCATGTTAACTGTTAAGATAATCATCCTCTTGAAGCAGTCCATGGAACTTTTCCTGCCAACACTGCTCTCTTTACAAACAGTTTTAAGTTCTGTTCTTTACTCCTCGCAGCTGCCATCCCCAAGGTCTCCAGAGCCAGCTCCTTGCCACTGTTCTCATCCCTTTCTTTACCCTTTTAACAAGCATGTACTAGCTTGCAGCAATAATCAAGGTCATGTGCTGGGCATTGGAACAGTAGGCTCAGAATAGCCAGCAGTAACTGCCCAGAGTTCTTTCACATACTCCATCACAACTCATTTTTAAAATGCTTTTGGCTCACCCAGGTCACTTCACTGCCATCTGCCTCCAGATGGTCACTTGGGACAGGGCCCCCAACTCAGCACCTACCGCTGGATTCCCCAAAACTGACAACACACATCCTGGGTGACTGGACTGGCTATCTTGGTCCCTGGCTCCTTCAGCACTTGCTTCTAGCAAATCATGCCAGAACTGAGTTTGTAAACTGTCACCCTACCTGTTCTGGGACCCCATGCTGTGAACAGTCTCCTAACTGCTCACCTATCTTCAGACCCCTGGGGATGCCTAGGTCAATATGCACAGAGGAACTAGACTGTCTGTCCCTGTCTGCAGGGACATGCAGACAGACCCCATGCATCAGACTCCTGCCTTACCTCCCCTCTGCCGAGAGAACCCCTTCCCTCCCAGACACCCACCCCACCACTGTGCACTATTGTGAGCAAACCCGCACTTGCCTCACGAGAGCCACAGCCGTCCCTAACTCTGCTGTTCTCATCCACCACCCTCCTCCCCTCCACTTGTCTCCTCTCCTTCTGGTGTTTTTCACTCAAACATTGACCCAGTCTATAAAATCCTTCCTCTTCACATATTTAAAATCTATTATTTGGGGCCTCCCTGGTGGCAAGGGTTAAATCACAGCACTATGAAGCTGTCCACAGCCACTGCAGCACAAGTTTGATGCCCGCCCAAGGAACTGTCCTGACTGGCCTGCTGCTCCTCTCAGCAGTGTATTTCAGTCAGTCTTCCAGTTCTGCTCCCTACTCTGTCTCTGGTGACTCTTCTCACCCCCTGCACCTCTAGCCTGTACCCCAAATTTTGTATGCATGCATAAATCTTTTAAAAATAAATAAATAAAAGCTCTTTTATTACCTCATTAACTTGGCAAAGATTTGAATTCCTCTGTTGTGACAGGTAGTTTTCTGTGTACTGGGGGTGCAGCAATGAAAAAGACAGGTGAGCAAAGGAGCCAGACAACAGACATCAAAGGCTAAGAAAGAAATAGTGAATACTATTATGTTCGGTACTTTGAAGAAAATTAAGAACAAGAAGACTGATCAGTGAGAGGGATGGTGGGAATGGCTATTTATGCAAGACACTCAGAGAAGGGCTTCACGTAGAACGGTAGGTACTAAGTGTGAAGGTGGCAAGGGAGTGTGCCAGTGGGCAAGCATCGGGAAGCAGTAATGACAATATAGAGACCCGTAGGTGGCGACATCTGGAGTGTGTGGGGACAGCAAGATGGCTTGTGTGGCTGAAGTAAAAGGAGCCAGGGGAGTGGAAGGAAATGAGATCCAAGAAGAAATGCAGAGTCAGGTCATGCTGGTCATCTAAGAACTTGTGCTGTTATTCTGCTAGACCTGCGAGGCCACAGACACTACCCAGGAACAATCATCACTTGTGCCTTTAAAGATGGCTACTATGTTGAGCACAGCCACAAAGAGGACGAAGGCAAATGTGGTGGGTAACTGGAAGATTCAGGACAAGATGGTGACGCCTTGTGCCAAAGGGTAGAGACCGTGAGAGGTTGCTGGATTCTGGCATGTTGTATATGCCACCAAAACTGGCTGATGGAAGGTTGTGGGACAGGGAATTAAAGAGTCAGAGACAACTACAGAATATTTTGACTGAGACTGGAGCTCATGAATATAATTTGTCATTATCAAAATCTTAAATATGTTCATTCCTGCAGACAGCTCTGAGGTGTTCCTTGCCTCTGAGAGAGCTGTGGTTGATTTCTTTCACATTTTCTGAGCCATTTTGGATGTCTGCAGACTCTAGAGGAGATTATCTTGCAGGAAGGTGAGAATCGGTATACATCAGTCTCTTCTCACATACTAGTTTCTAAATTTTCTCAAATCATTCACTAATTTTCATAATGTCTAAGTAGGCATGAATAAAAAGTCTATGCTTTCACTAGAATGTATGGTATTTCTGTAACTTGTGATTTTGCCTTTATTTCTGACACCAATAGACACTCCCAAGTATAATGGGGGTTCAATAAACATGACTTACCATTTCTTCCACAGTGGCAGGACCTTTTGACCTCAGGCGAAGTGTTTCCCTTCCAGTACCCAACTTTCTTGGTAAAGACTTGCCAGCATTTGATCTTGGTTCTATTTCTGTAGTCAATCAATGAATGGAGAAAGATACTTATACTCAGAAAAAAATCCAAGACATTGCTGTCAAAGCTAATTTAGTTCCCACAACAATAACTGTAGAGATTGGATAATATATGCCACTTGGACAATTTCCCAAAACAAAATGAATTCAACTGCTGTCTGTCACTCTCACATGAAAGTCTCTAGAAGAGTGCTGGTGACAAAAAGAAAACTGTTGGTGGCTCGGTTGCCCCAGCTCTTGGGACTCCGAGGAATGCGCCCACCGCTGTGCTACCATGGCAACAGATGGTTGAACCGATAAGGTGGACGCAGATTTGTGGTCATCCTATCTAACAGCCTGAGGCGCCATAAAGGGAGTGAGGGAGTGCCGACACCTGCACCATAGGGAGTGCAGGCGTCTGGCAGTTGCCTGCCGAGGTGTGATAAGAGAAATTCCTCACTTCCCCCATACCTCCTTCTCAGTAAATTTCCACTCTTCTCCTCCAAACTCCCACCCTTACTGCCTAATGATATATAAAGGGGGTCACGGACAATAAAGAGAGAGACTCCTGGATGAAGAACCTTGGTGTCCTGTGTTTTCTTTAACCTCATCGTCCCTCGCCGGACTCGGCTACGATTAGCCGGACGCGGCAGAAAACAGGATAAGTGATGTACAGGTGGAAAGACTAGAAGTGAAGAGAAAAACAAAATAGGCTCTCTTATCCAAGTGAAAGTCATACGTGGCAGGAAAGCAGAGGAAGGGGTTCTCTGGATGTTATCAAGGTAGGTGTCAGGTCTGCATAGAAGAGAGAGGAGCAGCCCTATTCTATGAAGTGTCTTCTTTCTTCTTGATGCTTTATATATAAAATCCCATCTAGTGCTCACACCAAGCCAGGCTGCAAGTTATAGCTCCACTTTTACAGAACAGAAATTGAATTCAGTAAGCAGAGCTGGGATTTAAATTTGGATTCTGTGACCCCAAAGTTGCTGTGCCTTCATCAACACTCCAACACCATTTCTCTTGCAAGGACAAGGGATGAGTTCAGAGGTGAAAAGCAGAGTCCTAAAAAGAGACTGGGACAGGTTTCAAGGAAAGAATTTCCCTCAGAAGGCAGGCAAAAAACAGGGTCCTCCTCCTTCCCTTAGGCTCGGTGTGTGTGTGTGTGTGTGTGTGTGTGTAAGTGCATGTGTGTGTAAGTGCATGTGTGTGTGTAAGAGATAAAAAGACAGAGAGAGACTTCTTTTTTCCCTAATGCACCAAGAGTCACCAGCTGACTATGAGGCAGTCAACAAACCTACACTGACACATTATTATTGGAAGTCCACAGTTTACATCAGGGTTCTCCCATGGTACGACATAGTCTATGTACTTGGACAAATGAAAAATTACATGAACCATACAGTAGTTTCACTGCCCTAAAAACCCTCTGTGCTCTGCCTACTCACACCAGATTTTTATTTATTTGCTAAGCTATCTTTTCCTTGAGAATAATATATTCAATCTAACCACTTGGTGGCGCCAAAGCAAAAGCTAAAATTTAAGTTCCGGCTTGGCCCAACCCCCATGAAAGGCAGTTCTTATGATTAATGAAACAGAAGCCATGTTCCTGTATGACCTTGCAATTCAAGAGACATAAATCAACCAGTTTATACACAAAAATAGGCAGGACAGTCCTGTTCACTCACAGGGAAAAACAGCAACAAGTTCCATGTTTTTGAATATTTTGACAATAGTGCATGATTTTAATCTGGCCTACTTTGGGGATGCTGACCCATCTAAACACAACTAATTACTCCACAGAGCCTAAACCACTCACTTGAATTCCCAACGTGGATCTGCACCCCCGTAGGGGCTAAGGAGGCTGGGGGTGAAAGGCAGGCAGTCGGTACAGTGGACATGAAGATTGGACCTGCACTGAGCTAGCTTCACTCCCCACCCCCTGAAGCATGCTAACCCCCTTAGGAAACAGGACACTCCAGCTGGTGGTGCACATCTGCTCCCAGGGTTAAATGAAGCTGTCATGTTTGTCCCAAACCCTTTTGTGGCAATTTATCTGTTACTCGCTACGCAATTTAATTTAAAAGTTTATGATCTGATGAAATAAATGTGAAACAAGGAGTGATTATTGCCATAAGAAGTAGATTGACTGCTTCAGGTAAGTTGCAAGGGAAAAAAATTAGATGTGGGCAACATGACAACAGATTAGGGAAAATATCTTTAAATGTCCAGTTAGCTCACATATTTTTATAGACCCCGCAGATATGCACTAAGATTGCACTTACATAAGATATACTTCATAAAACACCAATTTGTTTATTAACTGGAATCTTCTAAAGGTATCTTTTCCTTATAGCTATCTGTTACCCTAAGGTACTCATACAAGAAAGGTAAAGTAAATCCTTAATTCTTCCACTTTCCGCACAAGATGGTCAGTTAAGTTTGTTTTTGGAATCACATGGATTTTTAACATGCTTGTTATGATTCATTCTACTGGAAATACTTCCCTTTTTTTTTTTTTAACTCAAATTGTTCCCAATTTTTGGCCAACTGGAACCTCCTTAAGTTGCTTCAGAGCCCTAGATGGCGCTAATAGCTCTGGAATGATTAAGATTCTTTGGCACACCTAGTTCATTCATATGCTGAGACCTGGAATCAATGATTTTGAGGAAACTGTCTCATTTAGAGGGGACTAAAAACTAAAATTTTAAGTTTTCTTAGAGACTAACACATTTCTATAAAGCAACAATAGTTATGGTTAACAGCTTCATCTGAGGCTTACAATGTTCACCCACATTTTCAGACAAACTCTCAAAAGATGTAGTTTTCCCCCATGTGGTTTTCTTTTCTTTTTTTAAAAAAGATTTATTTATTTATTTATGCATACAGAACTGGAGCCAGAAGTACAGGGATAGTGAAAGGATTCATTAAGAGACAGAGTGGGGGGCAGAACAGGCAGATAGACGAATCACACTGCTGAGGGGAGCAGCGGGCGGGTCAGGAAAGGTCTGCTGCACCATGTGGGGTCTCCTCTGGGGCAGGAATCAAACCAGCACTGAAGTGGATGCACTAGTTTGCAGTGCTGTGTCCTAACCCATTGCACCACCAGGGAGGGCCTACACATGGTTTTCAAGCATTATATGCTACTTCTTATATGAGTGTAATTCTTAGAGTCCAATCTTATTTCAAAGGAATAAATACACACAACTACAATTCATCAAAGAACAATGATATAAGTCATCAGAAGAATGTCAATTTAAAGTCAATGTCTTCTTCTTTTTTTTTTTTTTAAAGATTTATTTATTTGTGCATACAGAACTGGGGTACAGGCCAGAGACACAGGGGTGGCGAAAGACTTCACCAGAGACAGAGTGGGGAGCAGAACAGGCAGATCAACGAAGTACACTGCTGAGGGGAGCAGCGGGTGGGTCAGGAGAGGTCTGCCACACCATGTGGTCACCTCTGGGGCAGGCGGGAATCGAACTCATGCGGAAGTGGTTTCAGCTTCTTAGTGCAGTGCTTTAACCCGCTGCGCCACCAGGGAGGGCCCCCAATGTCTTCTTTTAACACATTGCAGTTGACAGATAAGTTCTTTATATGCTTTCTTGTTTAATCTTCACAACACTAAGATGAGACAATTATTATTCTAACTTTATAGTTGGGGGAAAATGAAGCTTAAAGAAGCAAAATGATTTCTCCAGAATTACAGACAACTGGTTGCTAGAGCTGAAAAATAAAAGGTCAGATCCAAGGGTCTTGGGAGATGTAAGGAAATGTCATCAGTTAGAAGTGTTAGAAGTGTACCACAGCTTTGCCTCTAAGCCCCCCACTTTCAAAAACAGCCCTTGGGTCAATGTGGCTCCCTGACAAGTGGGAGAAAATATAACTGGTGTGCCAAGGCTGCCAGCTGATACAGCAGGATCAGGTTGGGTTGGACGAGGCCCCTAAAGTATAGCTTTAGGCTTGGACTCCATCCAGGAGTCCCCAAAGGGGAACTGTTGCAACACCCACTCCATCTTAAGGGTTTCAATAATTAGTCTCACAACAATGTTCCAGTTTTTAAAAAGTAAAAATAAAGCTAAAAGGCCAGGCAGAGTCCAGAGCCACTATTTCGCTTTATACTGCATGAAAGATTATTTTTTGTCCTTAGTAACAGACATCAGTTGGTTGTCTGTTGTCCCCTCAAGACCCCTGGACCCACAGGGAGGTCCGATTCCAATAACTTGTGTTAGAACTCTGAGACAAAGACATTCTTCTTTTTCTAATTGAGTAAGGAAGCTGATGCCCCCTCCTGCATGCTCTACCATGAAGGAGCCAACCTTAAGCTGATACCTGAATGATGAAGCAAAGGCCTCAAGCAGCAGAACAGAGAGAGAGCAAGTCACTGGGCCCTGGTCACATCTCACGGGCCCTGCACAGAGCTGTGCCAGAGTCGGGATCACCGACTGATTTCTAGTACTCCTTTATCTGCATAAGTAGGCTTGGGAGGGTTCCACACTGCATCCAGTTTAGACACTTCACAGATACTGAAAGCTGTCTAAGCCGTGAAGCAAACCTTTTAGAAACGTATTTTGATACCTAGATATGCACAATGACATGAGCCATAAACATCTCGTGTACCCTTGACCCCACTTTCACCCTAACACACACACACACACACACACACACTTTTCAGAACAGCTGACACAAAATCTGGCTTGTACCCCAGAACTTAAAAGTTTATGTATTTCAAATGTCATTCTTCTCCAATATTTGCGCAAAAATCTTAGAATACATGTGGTGGGAGAGATGGTGTTTCTGTTTTTTGGGTTTTTTTAAGTCAGGTGGTAAGATGCTGGGCAAATTAAAAAACAACAACAACAAGGAAAAGGCAGCAAGGCAGGTGCCATGAGCACAAGGTGGGAGCTGTTGCCTCTGGAATATAGGACAGGTGTGAACCTAACGCCACAAAAACACAGTCGCTCAGGTGTGAACCTAATGCCACAAAAACACAGTCGCTCAGGTGTGAACCTAATGCCACAAA